AAAAAATAACATTATCTCACACCTAGTGCATATCCAATTTGTTGACTTTATGTCACCAGGCCAATATATGTTGAATGTCATGTATTTAGTTAAGTCAAAAGAATTAAAAATACTTTTAAACCACTACAAAATTTAACTTCAGCCCCTGGATCAGGAAACAAGGAAGAAGGGCTATGCTTAAATCTTTCCTGGATTTAGGTATTTTTGCAGAATTGGAGTAAATGGAAAAAATCTATGATGATATGATCCTTCTAATTGACAATTCTTTCCCACGTATCTAAATAGTGTCCTTGTAAATATCTTGATGACAGTCTTGAAACTAAACATACATTATTTCTTCCTTCTCCACTTGGTTCTTCATACTGAATTATCAAAGCACAGCAGTGAATGACTTACAAGGATTTTTATATACATATATATGTGTGTGTGCATTTGTGAGTGTGTGTGTGTATGTGTAGATACATATATATGTGTGTACATATACATACACACATATTTGGAAGCAGGAGTGGCATCCACCTCCTAAACAATATGCCTCTGGAAACTCTATGAACTTAGAGAAATTACAATAGTTATAGAACAGGGTTCAGGTCTTTTGTTCATAGGGTCACTATGAGTCTTGCTCAACTCGACGGCAATCAACAATAACACATATACCCATATGTAGATATCATATATAATTACCCCAGGTAGAGAGTATTATGAAGAATCTGACTCTACAGAGGTTTTGCTTTCTGGTTCTGGTGAGACTCTGGGGTATTGTTTACTGGCCATTGACTATGAGTTGACTGTATTCGACCTCCTATTTAAAAAGGCATTTATTTGCCTGTAAGGGTCTGGGATCCAGGTGGGATAATGCGATAATGGTGGACAGTGTTTGGTGGAGCTCCCTGATTAAAATAAGCTTGGAAGCAGGAGTGGCATCCACTTCTGAAATAGCTCGCCTCCGGAAACCCTATGCACCTGGAGAAATTATGAAAGTTATACAAGTGTTCAGGTCTTTTGTTCATAGGGTAGCTATAAATAGTCTACGACTCGATGGCACTTAACAACAATAATATAAAGAGGGTGCTTTGGTGGCCTAGTGGCAAGAAGCTGCACTTTAATCCCAAAGGCATGAGGTTCGAGGGCACCAGAGGCTCTGCAAGAGAACAATGGAAAATCTCCCATGTGATTAACTGCCTCTGAAAATCAGCCAAAATCTCACAGTGGTTTGGTTCCAACTCAACAGTACACAACAACAATACAAGGAGTTATGGTGGCCTATGGGGTAGGAAACCTCCAGCTGTTCCACAGGAGAAGAGTGAGCAATCTCATCCAATGAAATTTATAGCTTCTGAAAACCTGCTGGAGGATAAGCAAAAGGCAGTTCCAAATCAACAGTAATGAATGAGTTAGTGAACGTGTCCATACATTAATCTCTGGAATTTATGTATATACTTCTTTACATCGCAAAAGAAACTTTGTAGGTGTCATTAAAACCTTTGAGATGGGGAGACTATTCTGGATTATTTGAATGAGTCTAGGTAATTGAACAATCCTTAAACGTGGAAGAGGGGGCCCAAAGAGGAGGTCTAAGTGATAAGATGTGAGAAGGACTCAAATACATTTACCAAATTTGAAGGAGGAAGAAGTCCAAGAGCCTAGGAATGTAGACAGCCCGCCACAAAGAATCATATTCTTTCTTACAGCCTCCAGGAAGGATCATGGCCCATGGACACCTTGATTTCAGCCACTGTCACAAATATTCCATTTTAAACCACTACATGTGTTGCAATTTGTTACAACAGCAACAGAATACTAGTACTGAAGTTTGGCCAGGGTTGTAGTTAAATCTGTGAGCATCTGGATACAGATCATAGTGGCAGTCATTATTTACAAACAAAAAACCCCAACCTTACTCTCATTTACTGAAAACGAAACAAAAAACCCCACAACTAACAAATCTAGTTTGCCTCTACTCTCTGAGGCTGTAAATCTTAACAGGAGCACAGTCTTCTCTTTCTCCCATGAAAAGTCTGGAGAATTCAAATCTCTGACCTTTTGGTTACCAGTTCAATACGAAATGGACTGTTCCACCAGAGTCCTGAATTCTCAAGAAAAACAATGTGAGAATCTGAATTTCCTAAAAATGTTGTTATACTGGGTTGCCAATCCCTGTTATTCCTGCTAGTAATAAAAGCCCCAAGTAAAGCTTAGCGGTTCTTGGTAGCTAAAAAGAGATAACTGTGAAAAAGCTGGAAAGGTGCTTTGTCAAAGAACTCTCTTTAAAGTTTGGACACCAGGGGAAGAGGAACCAGTGTCGTTTAGGGAAGAACAAGGCCACCCTATCCACACAAAATCCCCCCTCTTCTTTCTCTCAGTCCTTTCTCCCTTGGACTAGTGGCAATGTGAATGTCTAGAACAAAGACTTCTCCTATTTTTGGCCTGCAGCAATTAACTGATATAACCCCTTGTGAGCCTAAGCATTTCCTGCCTCAATGACAACGCTGTTGTCATTTCAAATCCAGCCCACCGGGGCTAGTGTGAAAAGAGGTCCTTTCTCATTCTCCAGAAAGGGGCAGGAAAAGATAAAAAATGCAAATCAGCTGAAAACATGAAACATCTCCGACACAATGAGACTGGAAATCCAGAAGATTATTTGATGCAGAGTCTCTTTAGCAAGTTTTAAACTAGATGTCTGCTAAAAAAAAAACAAAAAAATAGACAAGTAAAACTTATTAGGAGCTTGGTAACTTGCAACAGTAAAACAGGCCTCAGCTGGGATTTCAGAGCTCTGAGTTTTACTCTGGGCTCTGACACTGATTCTTTGGGTCCTTATTTGTGGAACCCTGGTGACAGCTGGAATCCACCAGCCACTTCTTGGAAAAAATCAGAGGTAGTCTCTCTTCCAGTAAAGATTTACAGCCTAGAAACCCAACAATCTCCATGAGGGAGCAGAGGGCAGTGGTTTGGGTTTGGTTTAGTTCATAAACCTCCTTTCCCCCACCATGTGTAGTAAATGATGGGTCAGATGACCTTCCAGCTCTGCTGTCAGGAGACAACTGCTGAGCTAAAGTTGAAAGATAATTAATTGTTTGTCAAAGACAGAAAGTTGTGAATCTTTGAGGATCTAATATAGTCGAGAATCTAATATAGTCCTGGTTAGACGTGTCCAAACGACCCAAACAGAACATCTTGCAGGAGCAACAGAAGAGGGGTGGTAGCAAGACAGGCCCTTGGGCATTCAAGGCTCCTCAAATATCCTTCCTTGCCTCACACACGTCACCACCACCATCTCTAATTCACCTTCTAATTTGATTCACCTTCTAATTTGAATTCCGGCCCAGATGTGAGTGGAGGACCACTAGGTCCCCAATGGGGAAGGGAGGAAGGATCACGCATTGATCTGGGGCAATATAATTGGGGAGATTTGGGGGAGAAAAAACAAACAAAACACAAAACAAGCAGAATCTGAGGAAAGATTTGTTCTGTTGAAACAAGGGGTCCGGGGCTGGGACAGAGAGCTGGAGATGGGTCACTGTTCTCATAGCTGTCTGTTCTTTTGGTGCAAATCACAGAAAGAAGCTGCTGGAGTTTGAGGCTGTGAAAATCCTAATCCTAGCAATTCTATCTTGAGACTTGGATCACCACCACCGTTTTCCTCTGGCGCTCAGTTTTCCCCACAAGATTCACTGCAGAGGGGAATCTTTCTCCACCCCCAAGTTCGGGTTCACCCAGCAGGGTGCCCAATCCTTCTTTAGTGGATGATCAAGGCCCGCCCCCCCCCCTTGTTCATTGACCAAATCTTTTAGCTCATCCCTCCCTCAAGCCTGACCCTCTTGTTCAGTGTCATCCCCCCCAGCTCAGCTGTACCTGCGCCCTGGGCTCCTCCAGGCTCCCTGGCTCCGGAATGGGGCTCGCTGGTGGCAGAGGGGCGGCGCCCAGGGCTCCCCGCGGGACCGCGGGACCCCAGTTTGCGGAGCTCCTGGACAGTGTGGGCAGCGCGGCGAGCCAGGGACCGCGGGGCCACGGGGGGCGGCAGCAGCAGCAGCGGCAGGAGCAACAGGAGGAGTCCTGGGAGGCAGCGAACCGGGGTCAGGCGTGGCATGGTGGGCTCAGCACTCCTGCCTGTGTGTCTGTCCGTCTGGTCGCCGTTCAGTCTGGGGAGGACCTGCGAGAGGAGCACAAATGGCCCATTTAAAGGTCCCGCGGCCCTGGGCCCCGCCCCGGCCCGCCCCTCTGAGGACAGGGAGGACCGAGTGGGGCAAGGGTGGCCATCGCCAAGCCGACCACGGGGCACCCCGCCCAGGGCCAACAAGGAGCCTTGTCCGCGCATTCCAGTGGCAGAAACGGAATGTCTGGGACACGCGGGCCAGCGGCGAGGTGGCTCGGGCCCAGGCCCGCTTGGTCACCGTCCCGCCCCCTGCCCTGCACCTCATCTGGGTGGGCTAGGCTGGGAAACTACTGATCTGGCCGGCCTCTGCATCCTTCAGGACTTCTGCCCTAGTCTGTTTGCATGGAGGGCAGGTCCTATCCAAAGTTGCAACCTGCGTGACCCCAGGGATCCCCTCTTCCACCAAGAGGGTTTGGTCCCCAGGTGCCTCTGGCCTGGTCCACCGTGGAGAACTCTGCCGCCCGCTGATCCTGCTCCAGGTCAGCCAACCAGGCTCAGAGCAAGACTGAAATGCTTGCTACCCCTCACACTGCATTCCTTTCTCCAGCCACAAAACCAAAGTTTTGCTGTGGGCTTTCAACTAAAAAAAAAAAAAAATTAAAATAATAAAATAAAAATAAAAGTGTCTTACAGAATCTAGCAGTATGAATAGAAACACTTTTCCCCAGCTTCAAACATCAATAAACATTTGAACTTATATTGCCAGGAATAGAAAGTCAAACATACATACCCCAGAGAGACCCCTGGAAGGACAGCCTGTACCCACAAAATTCACGAGGCTCTCCCTAGATCCTATTTCCTCTCTGGAAGAGTGAACATGGCAGTACAGGAAGGGGCACCCGCTCGGAGGACGCTGGAGGGATTCACAGCCTGTGGAAGGAGAAGTAGGCAGGAAGGGTAGAGCAGAATTGCTGTGGCTGCCTGAGGACTCACCGTGCATTTAGGAAACAGACACTGGCTTTGCTCAAGAAAACAGGTGACATTTAAGTGGCTCTGAAAATTTAACACTGAAGGTGAGTCCAAACAGATTCTATTCGCTTTGTTACCTGCTACAATCAAGCTAAGAGAATAGCCTCCATCATGTTTCTACTTAAACCTTCTAGTAAAATCCAAACTTCTTTGCATGACCTAGAAAGCTCAACTGGCTCCAACTCAGTCTTACCTGCTTCTGTGTCTGCAGCTGCAACTGTGTCTCCCCTCTCCGTGTTCCACCCACACTAGCCTTCTCCTGACCTGGAGAATAATGTCTAGCTTGTTCTCACCTTCTGGTCTTTGCAGCTACTTTTCCTTCTGCTTGAAAGGTCTTCCCCGCATCACCACCTCAGGAGCTCTGCTGGTGAAGGCTGTCGGCAATGGTGCTGGTAACCTAAAAGCTATTGGTTTAAACCCATCAGTAGCTCCTTGGAATAAAGACTTCCAGTGAGACACACAGCCTCTGAAAACCACTGGAGGGTCAGCTTTGAGTGGCTTCCTACTGGATGGCAATGAATTGATTTTATGCAGATAACATAACCCTACTTCCTGAAACTGAGGAGAAACTGAAGCTCTGGCTGTGGAATATCAAGGAATACAGGTTTCAATATTAATTGAAGCTCAACATCAAGAAAACAAAGATTCTCACCACTGTGCCGATTGGTAGCATCATGATAGTGAAGAGATTGAGATTGTTGACAGCTTCAGTTTGCTTGGTTCTACAATCAACACTCTTGGTACCAGCAGCCAGAAAATTCAAAGATGAAATTGCATTGGGAAAGTCTGCTGTCAGAGACCTCAACAAAGTTCTGAGAAGCATTATCAGTCTGGAGACTAAGATGCGCCTGATCGAGGCATGGTCTTTGCAATTACTTGCTATGCATCAGAAAGCTGGAAAATAACTAAGAATGGAAGGAGAATTGATGTATTTGAGCTGTGGTGCTGGAGAAGAGCGTTGAATATACCATGGACTTCTAGGAAAACAAACAAGTTTGTCCTAGAAAGGGTGAAGCCAGGCTACTCCTTGGAGGCAAGGATTCTGAAGCTTCATATAACATACTTTGGACATGTTGCAAGGAGGGACTAGTCGAGGGACATCATGCTTGGGAGGGTGGAGGGACAGCACAAGAAAGGAAGACCCTCAATGAGATGGATTTACTCTAACTGGGGTAATGGGGGTAGATGTGTCAGAGACAATAAGATTAGCAAGGGATAGAGCAGGGTTTAGGGCTGTTGTACATAGGGTCGCTATGAGTCACAGGTGACTTGACTGCACATAACAACAACAACCTTCATTACATCATTCAATCTTTGTTCTCATGTTATTTCTTCACACCGTCTCGATTGTCTTCATAGAATTTAGTTTTCTCTAGAATTGTTCAACTTACATAATTTTTTTTTCTTCCTTGATGGTCTGCTATCCTTGCCCCTTCCTCACCTCCACATAGTTTACCATAATGGACTACCTTAGAGTAAAGATTGTTATTACTCACTTCTTTTTTTGTCCACTTTCTTATTTGTTCAAAAATCTGGCTAAAGATTATTCAAAAATGTCTAGAGTCATGCATTTGAAAGAAAGGAAGATCCTCGAGGAAATAACTTTGCACGGGACTGCCACACTGGGCATTCGCACAGAAGGGATTGTGAGGGCATCAGAGAACCAGGCAGGGTTTCAGTCTGCTATGCATAGAGTTTCTGTGAGTCATAGTCAATTCAATGACATCTAAGGACCACAACCACTTATCTTCAGTATCTAGAATAATTACTGACTTATACAGAGAATAATTTAATAAATATGAAAAGCAGAGAATACCAGAAGGATGTCTAATGGACTGAATGTCACTTCCCATGAGCTGTTTCTCCCAGGACCCATCCCCTCTTCCTTTTGGGTTGTTTTATATTGTCGCCCAGTTCCAGAATGAAGGCTTTCGGAGACTTGCCAGCCTGTGGTATAAGTTGGATCCCAAGACCTATTTCCTCTACATCCTGCACTTAGTGGTGCATGACAGAAACACCTAGTCATGTTATTTACAGAAATTTCCAACAGAAGCCTGTTCATATCGCTGTCAGGGTCACACCTCTCAAAATCTCTGTGCAAAGGGAACTATAAGAGAAAGAGGCCTGCTCTGTGCACATCTTAATACAAAAACTCTGAACTTTAGAAGCATACAGATCACCTGGGCAGTTTTAAAAAAGGTGATGTGCTGGGCCCTCAATCCCAGATAGTTTGATGCAGATGTGAGACTGTGGCCAGGGATATTCATTAATAATCAATCTCTAATGCCAAATGCTATGCTGAGGGTGTCTGTAATGTTTAGAGGTTGTGCTAGCCATTTCATAGGCTTGGTAACAAGGCTGAATGGCACTTTCTATGCTGTTGTTGTTGTTACTTGCCATCAAAGCCTCCCCAGTGCAACAAACCTAGCTATCCTCTACCAGCACCAGGCAAGGACATCGGACCAACAGAGCCCTCAACAGCAACAAGTCAGAACACCAGACCAGCAGAGCCTCCCACATCACCAAAGGAGCCCTCCAAATAATTACGAAGAGCACCAGACCAACAGAGCCTCAAACAACACTTAGAACCCAACCAATGAAGCACAAAATACCCATTACTGAGACCATCAGACCAACAGAGCCTCCAAAATACTTAGCAAGAGCACCAGCCCAAGGCAGCCTCCACCAAAGCCTTCCAGATGCAACAAATCATGTCAGCCCCCACCAAAACCAAATGAGAACATTGGACCAATTGAGTCCCCAACAACGAGCCAGAAAACCAGACCAACGAAGCACCAAATAACAAGTTACCAAGAGCATCAGACCAATAGAGTCCCCAACACCACCAAGCCTGAATGCCAGACTAACAGAGCAACAAATAATAACCACCAAGAGCACCACACCAACAGAGCCCCTGCGATACTTAGTGAGAGCATCAGCCCAGGCAACCATCACCAAAGTCTCCAAGGTGCAACAAACCCAGCCAGCCCCCACAAACACCAAGTGAGAACATCGGACCAGCAACAGAGACCGCAACTGCAACAAGGCACAGCACAAGACCAACGGAGCCCCAAACAATACCTAATGACAATGTCAGACCAACAAGGCCCACAGCGACAGCACTGGCCCAGGGCAACCCCCACCAAAGCATCTCAGACGCAACAAACCCAGCCAGCCCGCACCAAAACCAGTCAACGAGATCAGATCAATAGAGCCCACAACACTCCAAGCCAGAACACAACAATGAATAACAATTACCAAGAGCACCAGACCAACGGGGCCACACCATATCCTCCCTGGCACAGCAAACCCAGCTCTCACCCACCAATACCAAGTGAGAACATCAGAACCACAGAGCCCACATCACCTAAGCATTTGTATAATTGGTTTTATAATATCGCTTTGAGTACTGATTGCTCTGTACCTAATTACATTATTACCGATGAATAAAAATAATACAAACTAAAAAAATTAACTATTTAAACAAAAATGAGAACCACAAATTCTAAGAACAGAAAGGAATAGGTTGGTCTCTAATTCACCGTCTGAGTTACTTGCCACCTCAGGTAATTGATAGAAAGGCCAGGAATATAAATCTGGTTTCCTGATGCCTAGTCTACATTCAAACTACCTAACTGGATGATGACAGATACAAAGCTCCTTTCTAAAAGACCAGAAACAAGGTTACTCTTTTTCTAGTTTCTAGGTCAAACACTTTCTCTTCTCCCTCTTCAGCCCTTCCTTACAAACCCCTCATGATAATATTTGCACAGTGTCGCAGAGTTTGCCAATCCTTTCATGTCTGTTACCTCATTTGATCCCATTGGATCCTAAGAACAACTCCAAGAACTACACAGGTCAGGGGTTTGTGTCTTCCTGGCTTTGCAGGTGCTGACGCTGAAGCTCAGAGCCCGGATACATTTTCCCAGAGAGAAATGGTTTGGTAAAGTGAGACTGAATTTCAG